CAGACCCCAATCTTATCTAAAGGAATATTGACAACTGATTGCTGCTAGATGAGAAACAACTGATCCTGCTAAAATAAAAACCTCTAGACAGGCTGACTAGATTCACCAGAAGGGCAAGTAGTGGGGAATGGCTGGGGGTGCCGACCACAGAGCGGACAGTAGCAGGGATAACAGAGTATAAGTGCTTTAGTGGGGGGAAGGAGGCTATGGAAGGATGCTACCTGGGAAGTGGGTGTATAGTTGAATAAGATGATTTGGGATGTTCTATGTGATATACACACACACACACGCACACACAAAATCAACAAATTTTTTAAAATGTATTATATTTGAGGAGGAAACATAAAAATTTACATCATGTTAATTAGTAGAGGTGATATACATTACCATTGAAATCTCCCCAATGACTTTATTGACATACACAGGTGCCAAGGATCCGAGTGCAACCAATTATGACTAGTAATAATCAGATACATAGAGATTAAAGATACATGTGCAAACGTGTGTTAGCATTAAAAATGTAGAAAACAGCATATCTTAAAATGAAGTAGAGATCTTCTTTAAAGGGTAAAAACTCATTCAATTTTATGTCTTACAGGGCTTATACTGAGTTCAATACAGTATAACTGTATTAATTCAACAGTGAACCTAAAAAATTTATAATCACTTTTGAAGGAGCTGTATCTTTGCTCTGGAAACTGTTATTGAGCATATTAAAACTGTAATGATATGCTTCTTCTAAAAAAATTAAAAAATAAAAAAAGGATCAAAGTTGGCAATATATTTCTAAACTTGAGAAAAAAGATCATTTTTTCTTTCTCATCAACTTTGGCTTCAGTATCAAAGTAAAATGTTAAACACATCCTTGATTTACAGTGATGGCTTTGTCTTTAAGCATATTACTATAATAAGTAGAATCTTTGCACCTTGTCCTGCCTTAGTTGAAGGCTATTTGACTATGTACATAAAGGTTTAAATACTCTTTTCTTTTCCAAATATCTTTCAAGTAAATATGAGCCACATTACTTTGCCCAAAACTTTGGCCTACAAGTGGATGATTTCTGCACTTCTTGCTAGCTGTATCTTTTTTCTTAAGCTTTATAAAATGTGGAGGCTTCTTTTGTGGATAAACAGCTGAAGACTTTAAATGTTGGACTCCCCCACACCCTTTTGGTGAAACACAAAAACAGCATTGGTCTGTTTATCATATGACTATGTCTAAGGATCCTAGCTCGTCCAGTTACCAACATCGTGGCACCTTGGAAGGTGGCATGGCTTTCTATACTAGAATAATCTCAGTCTTCTAGTTTAACTTAATGTTTTATAGCTAGACATCAAACCCAGGTTAGACACCTGACCCACATGAGTGATAGAGAAATTCTAGTTAAAAGATAGTAGCATTACAGCCAGAGTTCATTCAGAGAGAAAGCGGGAGCAATCATAGTCAATCAGACCCCAATATCCAGTTTGTTCAAGGCACACCACCCACCTGACCTTGGAGATTCTAGTGACTGGACTACTATATTCATCCTGTAGAGCTCTCCCTAACACCAGCCTTCATATAGTTCAATTCTTGAAGCCAATAATTGTCTTGAAAGGACATTTAGAGAATCTCTGATTCTCTTAATCTGTAAAATGGGTTGAGGTAATTTTCCTTGTAATGCTACTCTTAAGATCATCTGGGATACTTTAGGAAAAGTTCCCACTAGGTATCCACTAGCTTCTTGCAAATTTGTGCCTCAGAAATAAACCACCAAATTATTAAAATTTCAAATAACTTTTGTTATCTGTCCATTATTATGAAGTGCAGTAATCCAATGAGTCTTTCAGATAGATTAAATCCAGGTTACTCCTGACTGCTATCCACATTATCACAAATAAAAGTAGGTGGGAAAGACATCTGATGTAGGTATCCACTAGCTTCTTGCAAATTTGTGCCTCAGAAATAAACCACCAAATTATTAAAATTTCAAATAACTTTTGTTATCTGTCCATTATTATGAAGTGCAGTAATCCAATGAGTCTTTCAGATAGATTAAATCCAGGTTACTCCTGACTGCTATCCACATTATCACAAATAAAAGTAGGTGGGAAAGACATCTGATGTCCATTCTCCTGAAGAGATGCTTATGCAGGAATCATGTGACCCCTAGATGATTCTCTACACCTGCACAATTAAAGTTGGACATAGATAACATTATTGTTCTCTTGACAACCCTAGAGAAATGGATAGTGCATGCTTATGTGTGTATTTTGACTACATCTAATTAAGTAGTGACATGCACCATGACCCTGTGATGTCAGAAGACTTGATATTTAATTTAAAGATCAAACGTGTTTTCTCTTTCCTGATCTCATAACACTAAACAAAGGGCAATGGAAATGTCTAAGTGAATTGGGAGGGGAGGATCAATTTGCCAAAACAACCATTCTTAAGTCCCCAATGCAATTATCTGCTTGCTATAAACCTCCTCTGAGTCTTTCAATAGAATGACCCCCGTTTCTCATGGCACTGACCACATAAGTTGCCATGCTTCCCTGGATCCCTTTCTCCCCCAGTACACTGTGAGGTCATCTTCACGGACAATAATTGTAGCTCCTCATTGCTCACTCCTACCTGCGAAGCCCCATGATAAGCATTCTGCATGGATAATTTTACTTATACACCAGAGTCTTTGAAGTGGTTCTATTATTCATCCTCATCTTACAGATAAAACTAAGGTAAAGAACAGTTAATAATGTATCCAGGTTCTAGTGGCTGGAAGGAAGAGGGTCTATGTGCTCCTGAAGAGTATGCAATACCCACTGCTCTTGGCAGGAGTAGAGATCATCTCTGATTCCTGACTGCCACCTCCTGGACCAGCTCCGTGGCTGCCACAGGTGTGCAATGTATGCTGACTGTAGTGTGTGCAACAGAAATGCCAGGGGCTTCAGCACCTTGGCTGTGACTGACAAGGGCCGGCTGCTCTGCCTGCAGAGAAGAATGCTGGAGCAAACGGCCCTCTCCCAAAGCTCTGTCTGCCCCAGTCCATTTGTCCTTCCTCACCCTCCTCTTAACTCACTGCACCATGTGGATTCTAAGTTCCAGCTTCCTGCAGGCAAAGGAAAACTAACCTGAGTGCAATTGAGAGAGGGGAAGAAAATTCAGAAGGAGAGGGACAGATGTGTAAGAAAATTTGAACAAATGTAAACAAGGTTGTGCAACTGACACATTACCAGATCAAGGTTTTCCAAGATAAGTCAGTGCCCTTTATTTTAAATTACCTTGGTGTGAGAGTAAACTGATAGACACTGGGTTTACAGAGCTAGGTCACATGGGAAATCAGCTGACACTGGAGCAAACAAAACATGCATGCGGGCTCTTGGCTGCTTGCATTGGAGGAGGGAAGAAGGCCACAGGGACCCAGAAGTTTCCAGCCTGCAGAGAGGACCGAGACCATGAGTACAGCAGGAAAAGTAAGGAAAAGATTTTGCTGTTGAAAGTATATTCTCATTACTGTGTAAAAGGGCACGGCTTGTCACATAATCTCAAACTGGCTTCTAAATTAGAAATGCAATATAAAACTTGCTATAATATGTGATGTATGCTGAGCTACAATGGAAATAAAATCATTTTTAACAAAAGTGTATAGAATTTGATCTGTTAAAATATTTTCTTCCTACATTAACTTTGCAGAACAGTGACACTTTATTACAAACCATGTATGACTATTCTGTAATAAAAAGTTTAAAGGGTCTGGAATCAAAAGTCTGTGTTCATGTTATGTTACCAATAATGTAAACATGTTATTCTTTGTAATTGTAATCTTCCTATGAACACAAAAAAGTCTGACAAAGGTTTTATGAGAGGAATTTGATTCAGAGAACTTTGAAATAGCCTACCAACCTTTCTATATACTTTCTGACAAAAGGTGTATTGATTTCAAAGCATTAGAATTGTTCACAGTAAGAAAGGTTACATCAGAATAAAAATCATGATTAAGAGAGACACACTATTGTACATTTCACAAAGTTTCTATGGAAATTCTATAGAGGAGTATTTTCTCTATTTAAAAAACTCACCCATATTTTACAGAAAATTAATTCTAATAGAAATTGAATCACTTGTTAGCATCAAGGACACACATATACAGTACTGAGCTTTCCACAAACTCATACTTACTTGTTCAATCTGTCTATGGCACAGATAATTGCATGGAGTCATTCAGTATAATTAATTCATGTTGTTTGATTGTTTAATTGTAAAAACCTGTGCTTCTGTTGGCATGTGTGCTGTTTCATGTTACATGGAATAATAATTTATAATGATAAAATTTCTGAGGCTCTCTATACACTGTGTGACACAGCTCCATATTGAAAAGATTGGTTGGAAATCATATAAATGGCCAGTAATCTTATTCTAATTCACTATTTTCATTCGTTACTGACTAGATTTTAGGGTGGCAAATTACATTTAGAAAGAAAAATATTTAGGAAAAAAGAAAACTAAGCAGCTTAAAATAGTGAATTCATATAGCAAAAGTGTAAATCAATCATATTAATGAAAACAAGAATTGATGCAAGAGGGAATCAATGCCCTTCAGTGCAAGGTCAATAACTTAGTGCTGTGATTATATCTGGTTTCTGTCTGCACTTCCTCAAGTAACAAAACAATGATAACTTAGTCAAGCATGGTGATGCATCCCTGAAATCTCAGTACCAGAGAGGCTGAGACAGAAAGATTACAAGTTCAAGACCAGTCTGGGCTACATATTAGAACCTTGTCTCAAAAATCCAAGGGCCAGTTTTAACTCAGTGATGGAGTATTTGCATAGAATGCACAACGTTCTGGGTTTAATCCCCACACTTCAAAGAAAAGATTAATAATTATAATCTAGATTTAAATGTGTAACCGAGGATTGTGGTTAAACAAATGATTTCAGAATACCATTAGGAAATTAACACCTTTGAAGAAAAACAGCACAAGGCAGCCTATGGGAGTATGGTCCACTTTATCTCAGTGTATTACAAGTAATTATGTTTTCCTATCCTTGGGTTTATGGTGTTACACATTTTTAAAGGTATTTTGATTCTTTTTATCAGCCGGAAGTGTTGGTTTCTATGTAATTTACTGGGAGGCAGACATGGGGCTAGATACTGCAGGCTAACAGTAAAGACAGGAACCATCACTTCATGGGGATCCCTTATGAATTTCCAGGTGATAAAATGCAAAGCAGCTGTCCTGTGGGAGGTAAAGAAGCCCTTCTCCATTGAGGAGATAGAAGTCGCACCCCCAAAGGCTCGTGAAGTTCGTATTAAGGTGAAACAATTTTTTCAACTTCTGTAAATTTAAGTTTGAAAAACTCAGAAAATGTTCAAAATAGAAAATCCAAAAAATCTGTTAGAAACTCTTTAATATGATTATGCAACAATGAATTATATTTGTTGTTAAGGCAAGCTATTAATATAAATTGCTAAATTCCTTAAGTGAATAAAAAAGATGTTTAACAGAATCCCGGTTTGTTTGTTTTTAAGTGTTAAACATGTTTGTAGAAAGAAATGTGCCTGGAAGCTGGAGAGCTGGCTCAGCAGTTAGGAGCATGCACTATTCTTGCAGGAGACCTGAGTTCGCTTCCCAGCACCCACTTCAGGCAGCTCACAACCACCTATAACTCCAGTTCCAGGGGGATCTGATGTTCTGGCCTCCATGGGCACCTGCACTTGTTTGCACATATCCACGCACCAACACACATATATATAATTTAAAATAAAAGTCTTTTTTTTAAGTGCCAAGTGCTATACATCAAGATTTTGAAATCAGTTAATATTGCATATTTTCTTGGTGCTAACTTCCAATTTTTACTACATAATAGCATGTGTTTTTATATATCAAATGAAATACTTTTTTTCAGGATCTTTCACAAGATCAATTACTCTAAATTGTTTATTTCAGAAAAGGATCGAGGAAAGTATTGGCAATCACGAAAATGGGTTCATTAAATCCTCAGTCCCGACCTTTTCTGGATCTACTGTTTCCTCTCTGATTTGTAGATAGTGGCCACTGGAGTCTGCCGCTCCGATGATCACGTGGTTAGCGGAAGCCTGGTCACACCTCTTCCTGCTGTTCTGGGCCACGAGGGCGCTGGCATTGTGGAGAGCGTTGGAGAAGGGGTGACTTCCGTAAAACCAGGTGCAGAACTCACTCTGACTTTGTGCTTTGGTCCCAGATCCCAAGACCATCCCTCCCAGAAGAGGAAACTGAGACAGTTCGTGCTGTAAAGGCTTGTGCAAGGCCATGGATGAACTGGCACTGGAAGGGTTTCCTCTTCCCTCTCTCCCTGAGTTAGCCATGTTGTATTTAAACAATCAGGCATTTTCTACTTCCTTACCTATTTATTATTTGCGAGATGCCGGGTACCAAGTTAGTCTCGAAATGTGAGGATCAAGAGACATAGTGCTTGCGAGAGTGGAGTTCATGATCCAGTAACTTCGACTTAGTGTTGCTGAGCACTGTGTTCTTTCAAGACACAAACAAAACTACAAATGCTGTAAAAGGGAAAATGAAAGTCTAAGTTCTACATATCTAGATCAGTATCGCTAAACTGTTCTGTGCAGAGTTTGCAGAACTGTGATCCCTTCTTCGTCTTCTTCCTATAATGCCTTCCTTCTTGGATATAGAGCAAATAAAACAGGTTAGATAAGAGGAAATTCCAGAGGGAAAGAATTTTTTTTTTTTTGGTCTTCTTTGAGACAGGGTCTCCCTGTAGCCCTAGCTGGCCTGGAACTCACTATGTAGACCAGGCTGGCCTGGAACTCACAGAGATCTGCCTTCCTCTGCCTCAGGAGTGCTGGGATGTAAGGTGTGAGCCACTGTGCCTGGCTTTCCTTCATGTTTTTAATTGTATGTTTTCAGAGGTGAAAGGTAAATAAAGATAAATTTACCCATGCTATCATCCCACATGAAGTTTATAAAACAGCTATTTTTCTTGGTCTTAATTATTAACATAAGTAGCAAAAGTGATTAAAAACAAAAATTATGTTTAATTCTAAAAAGATCATCTCAACCAATAGGGTAGAACTGCTCCCTGTCCAAATAGTTTAACTCTAAGTAGAAAATAAGAAAATAAGTAGTCCAGTTTGAGTTAAGCTTTTGCTACTTCCTTTATCTGGAAATAAATGATAAAACGGCACCTTTCCTTTTCCATCTGCTCTCTATATAGGATAAAATAGATAATTCATAAATAATTAGCTAAAAGCAATTTAAAGTTATTTTTTATTTCTAAGAGGAAAAAACTTAATTTGTTATTGAGAGTTTAGATTCCAAAGCAATTTGAATTCCTTTACAATTTATTAGTCTTCTTCAAAAAAATAACCAAGAATATTTGTTAAGCATTTGCTTCATAATAAGATAAGCATAGCCACTTAGAAAAGGCAAAAATTGGGAGCTGGTGAGGTGGTTCAGTGGTTAAGAGCATTTACTACTCTTTATAGAGGACCTAAGTTTGGTTCCCAACACCCATACCAGGTGATAACTCCACCTGAAAGGATCTGACACCCTGTTCTGGCCTCCACAGGCACCAGCACATGTGGTATAGAAACACACAGACACAGACACAGACACATGCAAATTAAAAGCAGCTCTTTGAAAAACAAAGAGGCAAAATTGGTTATCAAAATTCTTGTTTTTATTTTATTCTATGATCGAGTTTAATTTCATTTATTTTTATGAAATATTTCATGTTTATTATTTTATTTTTTAATTTATTGTAACTATTATGCAAAATATTAGATTTCTCCAATACTTAGTAGAAATATATCAACAGACTTGCAGCTAAAACAATTTATATTTATAATTAGCTGTGAGAATATTTAAGGTTTGAGTGGGATAATATATGTAAAGCCCCCAAGAGGAACTGAGGCACACAACAAAAGTTAAGTGTTGATCCAGTGGAAACGGCTGTTTTATTCTATGCTGTTTTCTGCATTTTCCTTTCCTCTTGGGGAATCTTCAGGCACATATAAACCCAGATGAATAACAATGCTGGCAGGTAATGACCAAATGACATAGTGTGACTTGACTCTATCTCTTGGAGACTTTTCAAAGACACTTCCACATATAAGCTTTAAGTTCTTGCTTTATTAATTCCTGGATAGAAATTTAAATAAATTTTGTTTTATCCTCTTCCAGGTGATAAAGTCATTCCTCTCTTTTCTCCCCAATGTGGAACTTGCAGAATTTGTAAACATCCGGAGAGCAACTTTTGTATGCAAAACGAGTAGGTTTCTTACTGTCTCTTTGCACAGCTAATGAGGTTACACACTGGTTTTATTACTGTCTCATGTCTTTGGTGTGTCTGTGTGTTTCACTGACCAGTCTGCAAAACACTCGAGGGACTTTGCTTGATGGCACCAGCAGATTCACCTGCAGAGGGAAATCCATCCACAACTTCATCAGCACCAGCACCTTCTCCCAATACACAGTGGTAGATGAGCTGGCAGTGGCCAAAATCGATGCAGCTTCACCCCTGGAGAAAGTCTGTCTCATCGGCTGCGGGTTTTCAACTGGTTATGGCTCTGCCATCAAAGTTGGCAAGGTAGGATGGACAACGGCCCATGAAACCAGATATTCAAAGTCTGTGGGAGCCAAAAGGGAAGCAGTTGCTCACAGGCAATCAGAAAGGAGTTTTATAGATCTGAGAGCATGTTCTAGAAAATTTACCTGCTTATCACAGATAAAAATGCTGTTGATGCTTACTTAAGAACAGGTAAATATTTCACATTCAATAATACTCTATTTAAAATAAACAATAGATTTGAGTTAATCAATAGTGTGTTCCCTTATGCCAAAGGCCATCCACTGTATTGACCCCAGACACGCGCAAGTATGCATGCACACACTCACGCACTTCAGAAGTGATCTACTTCAAGCAGTAATTTTTAAAAAACTTTTCTTCTCAAAAGGTGGACCATCTAGTGGCATCTTTCCTTTTATTAAACTAAAATAAAACCAGAAAGATAAAACTATTTGCCTGAATTTTCCATAGCTGGGTACTATGGGAAGAGAGACTGGAACCGATTTCTCAAATTTTCTGCTGAATCTGAAACTATAATAATGTCTACCACTTCAACACAATCACAAGCCTGTGTTCTTCTAAGTGAGGTAGGACGTGGTGCTGTATCCCATTGCATTTCATAACATTTGGTTAATGGATAAGGAATAGACACTGCTAAGGGAAAATAACAGAGTATTTGGGACAGAAGATCAGGCTTATTAAACAGACCTTAGTCAGTTAAACATCCTAGAACACGTCTCTTCACAATTTCTGTGACTTCAGCTCCACATGAGATTAGTGCTCATGCCATTGCCCCATCTGTTTTGGCAACTGGTCTAACTGAACCTACTAGCAAGCAGGTGCCAAAGATACTTATAAAAATGAATTTTGATCATTATTACAGACCAGCTTTTTGTAGCAGTATTATTCATTTGCTTATTTAAAAATTCAGAGATAAGACCCACAAAGATTGCGGTGATCTCATGCCTTATTGTGTTAAAGTTCAGGGTCAGTTTTCCTGTTGTTTGGGCTCTGCTTTAAGCCAAGAATGCCTCTTGAAGGCTTCACAGTAGCCTTCTGCTCTCATTACCCTGGTTGCAACGACTGAAAGTTGATGAACCAAAGGAGTTAATGATTGATGGGTGGATTACTTTTTAGTTTCCTGGAATAACCTTGACTACTTATTTCATTTCTTTCAAAGTGCTTTTGTGTACCTGTAAGATGCTGTTGAGAGTCTCTTAAAGATTAAAGTCCTTTTTAAAAAATATTTTATTATTTTTATTTTATGTGTATGAGTGCATTGCCTGCATGTGAGATTACTCATGCAATGTGTGTCATACAATGCCTATGGAGGCCGAAAGAGAGTGTCAGAACCCCCTGGAACTGGAGTTATAGACGGTTGTTAGCTGCCACGTGGGTGCTGGGAACCAAACCCAGGTCCTCTGTAAGAGTAGCCATTACTCTTAACCAATCAGTCTCGATATTTAGAATTCAAAGGTCATCCAGTCCAGCTGGTCTCACTTGGTTCAGTCCCATTGGAGGGACCTGCATTCCAGCTACAGAGATTCTGATTTAACTGGTAGGAGTTACTAGATACTGAGATATTTTTTAACTTTCTACTTATATCTACTATGTAACAAACTTTGAGAACCACTTGATCTACTTCAGCCTCCTCTGTGTTAACATGAAGCAAAGGTAGTAAAAAGAGGTTTTCACAGCAGATGAACCAAAGTCTGAGTAGCCCATGATAAAGGACAAAGCAAGGTGCTTTGCACAGCATGGGGTAGGTACTTCCACGCAATCACTACTCAGTATATTTTTTGCATTTTCTGAAAACACAGGTGACCCCAGGCTCCACTTGTGCCGTGTTTGGCCTGGGAGGAGTTGGCCTGTCTGTTGTCATCGGCTGTAAGGCAGCAGGAGCAGCCAGGATCATCGCAGTGGACATCAACAAAGACAAATTTGCAAAGGCCAAAGAGTTGGGTGCAACTGACTTCGTCAACCCTCAAGACCACAGCAAACCCATCCACGAGGTGCTACAGGAAATGACTGATGGAGGAGTGGACTTCTCATTTGAAGTCATCGGTCGGCTTGACACCATGGTATGTACCACAGACTGCTTCGAGATAACCACTTCAGCCATCTAGAATATGATCCAGGCAGCAAACTAGAAATATCACAGATAAATATATTTTTAGAATGGTAATTTTTCTGGCTCCTGTTTCTTACTTGGATTGTTCAATTTTGCTCTTATGAGAAGTCTTCCATTTTGTCAGTTCTACAAACTTATCTCAGTAATGATAATTTTCCTTTAATGCAGGAAATTTTGTTTGTAATTGAACCATTGTAAATTAACTTTACTGACTTTTTTTTTAAGACAGGTTCTCACTATGTAGTCCTGGCTCTTGCTATGTAGACCAGGCTGGCCTTGAACTGAGTTTTAG